ACACACACACACACACACCACAATGTTGTCCCACACTGTCATATTTTCAGGGTAAATTCTAAGAAAAAATTCTCTCCGTGATAGAATAGCACGGCTGGGCGCGTAGGCGATTTGAAGATATATCATTGAGCGAACGAAAGGCGACTAATATTTTGTGAATGCTAAACGTCGTAAACATCGACTCCATTGTTGATTTCTCTCTCTCTCTCTCTCTCTCTCTCCCCTTTTCCCTCCCTCTCTCTTTCTCTTACACCTCACGGTGCTGCACGGATATCAATTTTACGACAATACGACGTGTTAGACAAATACGGAGCTTAAGGTACCGAGCGCGAAAACAATATCGACGGCACATGTCCAGAAGAACCGAGTAAGATTCATGGGAGTCGGGAAAGTGGCTCGGGAGAAAGAAAACGTGGATAGAAAAGCCACGGTAAAACGAGTTACGCGCGTATGCTTCATGCCGAGATGTGAGATGTCGAAATGATCAGTGAATTTCGAAAATTGACCAAGATTTCTTCACGCTATTTCACTTATCGCATCACAATTTGGTTCAGAATCTTTGATTTCGAAAGGGAGTTAATGGTTAATTCTTTGCGATCTGTTCGCGAATCAAATTGGTGATAATTACTGATTAATAATACGTGAATTTTTTGAATAATTCTTTTCCGGACCCAGTTCAGACTAAGTCCTAGAAATATGTAGAAATGAATGACGTAAGGAAATAAATGAGTAATTTTACATTTACTAAAGATCAAGATTTTATAAGTATCGTTTAAAGTTTCTATGAAAAACTCGTAGACAATTAGAGATTAACTCATTACGGTCCGATTGAGAATTAAGTCTATAACTAGACTATTACTTTCTTTAAGATTATCGAGAACTAGTGAGAATGATATTTTTAATCTTGCCCTCAATGAAAATTATAACTTCTAAACTTCTAATACTTTAGATATCTGAAAAAAGTCCATCTTCTGAAAAAAAAAAAAAATTGAAAGAAAGAATTAAGAGGAATTGTATTTATTGCAGATACAATGAGGTAGTAAACTGTTCACGGAGCACCTGGTGAGAGGTGGGTTTTTAGCACGACGGGCGATATGTTTCTGTCGAGCCGCAGCGGCCGAAAGGGGCCCATCGCCTGTCTGGTGGGCCTCCTCCTCATCTTCGCTCTTTATCAACTGGGCATTATTTGCGGTTCCACCAGGTACATGCCCACGGCCATGATGGTCAGCAAGGAGGTAAGAACCAGAGGCACTTCAACCAATTTAGTATAATCCTCCATTTTGTAAAAATTATATTACTTTTCCGATTACTTAACACGAGATAAAGAGGGCAAATTCCTTCTCGATTAAATGAAACAGATGAATTCGAGAAAATATTAAACATGTAATTGAAAAGGCATCTCTCTCCGTATATACTTCTATTAGAAATCCTCTCTAAGAGAGAAATTTTAATTGGTCAATTTACAACAGCTTTATTTGATTTTCTCTCCCTTGGTTCTCTCGTCCCGGCACGATAATAACAATAATAATTAATCGGAATAATAATAACGATAATATAATACGAGCGTGGTGTATTATCGCGGCTTGCGCGGCAGTGTCCCTACATTATTAATCGGCAATTAATGGCTGTCAAAGTATTAATTGTGTCCAGTTGTTAAAAGCTCCGTTTTACGCAAATATTGAATCTGAATGAGTTTACCAATCGAACGATACGTGGCCCGGCAATGAGATTCGTGGAAGGAACTCATTTAAATTCGAATATACTTTACGTTTAAATTAAATGTTATCTCTTCTCTTCTTCGAAGTCGAATCTCCTCTGCTGCGCGGTTTATACATTTATTCTGACGATGTTTCTTCGCTGTTAGAAGTACAATCTTTCAATTGAAATAACAATTGAAATATCGGTCGGAAACTTTTCTCAATAAATTCACTCAGTTCGTCTTTCGACGTTCTCATGATTTTTGTCGTAAGTTTCTTCCTAAAAATTTCGTAACCAGAAACTTTGTTGTTGATTTTCAACTATCTCAAAATATCTCTCAATACGACGCAGAGATACTTTATTAATAAACTTTTTGAATTAAAACATACATATATCACGTGCTTAAAAAAATCGCACATGTAAATATCATTAAAGTCAAATAGAGTAATTGATTTCTTATTTTAAAGTGGTTTGTCTAAAACAATTTCAAATGTTATAATCGATGTAACCTATTCCTTTTTCCAAAAAAAAATCTAATGTGAAAGAGTTAAATGATAAATTATTGAACAAATGGCTTACAGTATTGCAACCGTGTATATATCACTGAGAGAAAAGATTTTGTTATAGGAACAAATCAAGGGAAAGCAAATGTGATATTTGTTAAAAAAACAATCGATTTGCTACGATTGCAAATTAGTAGTTCGTCAATGTAACAAATAATCAATAGTATCGCTAGCAAATAAGAGGCTCATATATATATAAAAGTCGTAGATGGTTGCAGGGTCTCAAATCGTAAGAAATTGATTAATCCTAGTCAAGTATTCTCCCTATATTTGACTGCTGGTCGGTTTCCTACAACTTAAGACTCCACGATCATCTACGAATTCTATGTAAACGAGCTAAAGTCTATCCAAAAGATAGGTTAGATTCTATATAGTTTGTTTCTGTTACTAATAATTGGTTGGTATAGCAGACTAGCAGCAATCACAACAACATAATTTGTTGTTACATATATTTATCGATCACTGGTTAAAGGTACTGGTGGCTTGCTAAATTAACAAAATCCTTTCTCTCAGTGATATGTACGAAGAAATAAAAAATTATCTCATCGCGTTACATATCTTGTCGCACTTCCGCTACTACCAGATTAGGAGGAAAAGAAATGTGTCTATGAACTTAAACTGTCAGGCCACGTATTAGCGGGCGGGCAACTGCAATTCCTGAAGCTTCATCTTGGCCTTAATCAACGCCAAACTGCTGCAAACCGAGCGCAGAGAAAGGGATGTCCGACGTTCCTGAAGAATAGTTCGACGAACTTGCTCCTACCGACGAAGTCGATACACCGACGACGAGTCTAACTTCCGAGCCAATTCCGCGTCTTTCCCGATCTACTTCCGCTGACGCGACTTGCAGGCGCTTTTATTAATTTTCTTGTAGACTTACTTTAATTGCGTTAAGGTAGTTACGGTAAAATACCGGAACGAACGACGGGTAAGAGTTATATCCCACTTATGAGCGTAACTCGGTAAAAAGTATTTTTTTAAGTACTTGCATTTGGATCAGTTATCCAACGAAATAGCTATATGCGTTGCTAGCAAAACTAAGTATACGTATAACTTTTTTTTTAGTACGAGTATATGATCAAAGTCATAATTTTTTAAATTAAAGACGATAAAAAATATAAGGTATTTTTCGTGAATTAACTTTACAGTAAATAAATGACAGAATTTTATTTCTCGTTTAATTTCAAGTCCAGGATTCACGTAAACAAAATTTTAACCAGATATATATACGGTTGTTGAAGTATTTGATGTTAAAAGTTCAAAGCATTAAAAGGTCAGCAGACGAATTTTTAGTATGAACCACTTTTCAATGGCCCTTTTCGAACGACAAAAAACGAAATTGACTAGCTTTAAAGTTTGCTTTAGACGATCTATAATTCGCTTCGATTCACACAGGAATTTTATTTATAATTTTTTGTCATGTGTATTTTGATGTCTACTTGTATTTTAGTATGTATGTTATATACGCATATTTTGATTTTTCGATATCTGTCGTATCATACTACATATAAAATTATGAATAAAAATGTATCTTGAATTTTGAAGATCGTCTAAAGAGCAGACTTTTAAAAAGGTTTTTAAAAGTCTGCTTTAGGTTCACTAATATTTTTACAGTCTTTGATTGTTGTATTATAATCTGCTGAACAGAAGTACGTGATCGGGCCGTTTGACCGCAAGACGTACACGTACGACCGTTACATGCCACTCATTTTCATCGGTGGTGTACCACGATCAGGTACAACCCTAATGCGTGCCATGCTGGACGCGCACCCTGACGTGAGGTAAGTCGCAATTATCATTTAAAATGATAAATTTGTTGAAATAAATAAATAAATACACACACATTAATTAAATTCAATTAAAGCACAAAGCGTTGAAAGCGCATGAAAAGGATAATTGTATTATCGTGCAGACGTCGGCATTATAAACTTGTATTAATCTCGATTTTCTATAGTTGATATATCTGTTTCTACAACAGCATTCACAATATTTATAAATATATATGTATATATATTGTATATAAATATTCATCTCCCAACGCAAAAGAGAGTAAATAAATTTATATCCATATGACATAAAAGCATCGTTTGTGTTGAAAAATAAAATTTGTTATCACCAAGATAATATATAGATATTTTTAACATATATATTAATAATAATATTAAAACACACACATATATTGAGATACACACGACATATAAAATTAACTTCTGAAATCTCTGATACGAATTATGGATTTAGAGAGAATGATCTTAAAATGAGGATTATATTCGATCAAATATCTTTATTTTGTTCAAGATGCGGACAGGAGACCAGAGTTATACCAAGGATTCTCCAGATGAAGATGCACTGGTCCAAGTCCGAGAAGGAAAACGTACGGCTCACTGAAGCGGGGATCTCGAAAGAGGTAAGCCTGCGTTCTGAAAAGCGCGGAAAAGGGTATATTTCAGCACTGAGACAGATCTGAATAATTTAAGTATCGTCCAACGAAAAAATTTGCAGCAGGAAAAGTTTTCAGCGTTTGTCCTATTTTATCGAGAGTGGTATATTTCTCTTGCGCTCTTAAAAAAGGCCAAGGAGTGCTCCATAAAACTTTTCGCTGCAACGCAGCATATATTTATTCGAATGCTTACCTCGATATTTAAATGTGCATTCCTCTCTCCTAAAACTAAATAAGGATAAAAATTTGCTTGCGTAGCTTGAATAATTATATCATCGCGACGTGAAATTATAAAGTTTGCTGTTCATGTGAATCCTAAGCTGGTCGTGTTAGTTCAAGAGGATAATGTAAGATGCTCACAGTAACTTCTCCGAACTCTTCATCTCTCATGAATAATTAAAATTAAACGCATATGAAACTTGAGAGGTGCGTTTTACGACGAAACGAAGGAGTATTATTCGGAGCTTGAAATATCGAGAATATGCTATTTTTCTATAGGTGATAGACAGCGCGATAGCGGCGTTCTGCTTAGAAATAATAGCACGACACGCTGAGCCCGCGCCGAGATTGTGCAACAAGGATCCACTCACCCTGAAGATGGGCTCGTACATCCTCGAGCTCTTCCCGAACGCAAAATTTATATTCATGGTGCGCGACGGACGCGCGACGGTGCATTCCATCATATCCAGGAAGGTAAAAAAAAAAAGCTTTATGTAACACGTTACGTTACTCTTTTTTTTTCCAAAAATATATTTGATTGTTCGACAGTTATGTCATTCTTGTGTCGAAATAAGCTTTAAATAAAATTGCTGATTAAGTTTTGTAAGTAAGAAACTTTTTTCTATTAATTGCTTTTTGCGTTTTTTTTTTCTAATTTTTAATATTGCAAATTATAATTATAGCATACCATATGCCGTCACGTGTGTCTCTTCGCATTTTAAATACACATTTTTTAAATTATAGAATGCAAGGCTTTTCATTCAAGATGTATATTACACACACACACACACACACACACACACACACACACACACACACACACACACACACACACACACACACACACACACACACACATATAAAATAGTACAATATAATTCTCCCAGTGACGCCTTCTCTTCATAGGTCACCATAACGGGATTCGATTTAACGTCGTACCGGCAGTCTCTCATCAGGTGGAATCACGCAATTTCCGTAATGTACGGTCAATGCAAGGAACTGGGACCTGAGAGATGTCTGATGGTTCCTTACGAGCAGCTGGTGCTACACCCGCGTCAATGGATGAAGAAGATATTAAACTATTTGGACGTACCGTGGAACGAATCTGTCATGCATCACGAGGAATTCATTAACAAACCCGGCGGAGTGCCTCTGAGCAAGTAAGCGAGAAGAGTGGAGGAAATAGCAGTGCATTTAGACTTAACAGTATTCCGGGATTCGTGCGAAATGCATGTACACATGTTAAAATAATGCATTAAAATAATGTCGTTAATCCTGAATATGTATTAATGTAATAATATAATGCATTTCGTATTAATAATGCGAAAATGATGTGACAGCGTAACAAAATAATCCTTCGTGTGATTAATATCAGAACAATAATACGATAAATTAATTTTTCGCATTATCAGCATTAAAGTAATATTTATACAATGCAATGTAGTAGAATGACGTTCTGCTAAATTAATATAACGAAATTAATAAATGTGTATATAGAATATGACGTTTCGTATTATTAATGTCAAAATCATATTTGACGAACAGGGTCGAGAGGTCATCGGACCAAATCATAAAGCCTGTAAATCTGGCAGCGCTAACCAAATGGGTCGGTAACATTCCTGAGGACGTGGTGAGAGAGATGGCAGACATCGCGCCAATGCTCTCCGTACTCGGCTACGATCCTTACGCGAATCCGCCCGTTTATGGCGCACCGGACAGTTTAGTTAGCGACAACACCAGACGGTACGTTCCCATTTGTTACGCTGCATGGCTGTTACAGTTGTTACATATAGTATTGCTCACAAGTGATGTATATTCAAACAGTGTACCGTGAATCGGAATTAAACCGAAATTGGACGAAATTATTTGGACATATTACAGGGATACAAAGTGAAATGAATATTACAGCCGAGCTTACAAATTAATCAAAGATTCTTAAGTAAAAGATTTCTTTCAATGACTAAACTCAATTTTAAGCTGAAGAAAATCTCGCGTTACAGATTTTTATCAGATTTTATCACATCAAATAGTATCTATCGATTAATCATTGTTTATTTAATTGAATAATCTAAAATAGCTTTTTAATATGGTGTTAAAATATTCTTTACAAGAGCGAAAATAACGCCTTATTTGATGATATTTATATTAAAAGGTTTTCTAAATGTATGCGATTTCTCTGAAGGAGTAAAAGCATCACCTGATTCTAACCGGTGAATTCTAACCGAAGTTATGAAAGCATTATGACCGTTCGGTTTATATATATTCAATTTCTGCCTTTCAGAGTGTTGGCTGGCGAAAAACTTTGGGAGGAGAAGGCGCGGGCGTACCATCTATCGCATAGGCCAATCGAGAACAGTAACGAGGAAGCTGCTTCCAGCACAGCCCCAGTCGCGTGACCCCGCGTGATTCTCATAGACACGAACGACACGTAACCGACTACCAACCTAAGTCCCATCGATTTAGGATTCCCGCGTTTACGGAGAGACTACCCTGTTGTACTTTCAAAGTAAACTCGGTCTCGCACGACTGTGAGTCGCGTCGTGAATTAATCGCCCTTGTCGTATTTTCTCAGTCTCCGTTATCGCATCGCGACAACGATAAATTAATCGATCATTCCTCGCGACGCTTATTTATTCGCATCAGGATCGCGCTTCACGAAGACAGATGACGTAATGTACTAAACCGTGACTAGAAAATAGGATGCACCCGAAATAAGCGGTCAAATTTCGAGAAATGAGCTATTCCGTTATTTGACAGTTCGTGAAGCATCGATTAAGCGTTCCTTCTGCGAAACCCCTTTAAAACGAAAAGAAGAGCAAAGTTCGTTCTAAGATGAAACTTCTATGAATTTTCTCAGCGTTCTTGCTGTATTCTACCGCAGACGAAAACTGTGGGAGCAAGTGTCTATAACTCGAAGAAAGAGAGAAACAAGACACATAATCGTATGACTTTTTCGTCTTCAAAACAAATAGAATAAATTCCTAACGTTTGGTCGTTTATTTGCGGACTCTTCTGTATATTACCGTGATAACTATATAATATATATATAGTTATAGTAATATTTTTAATAGTAAAACTATTAATTTAAAAGGTTTGAGATGCAATAACGAAACAAATCTACATAATTTCGTTTTATATATTTTGTATTTAAAATAGATTTCACGAATTATTGTAACAAATTTAATATTAGACATTGATCCTTTTTTATTTCTTCTGTATAATATTATTTACAAATTTATTTTTGGTAAATAGTTTAGGGGAGGCCAACCTTATTTTTAAATTAAAAAATAAGAAATATTTAAAAAGGAGCTTTTTATTAATTACTTGTTATGACAAACATTCATTTATCCCTAGGTATTTTATAAATAGCATTACAAATGTCGTAATGTTATGAGTTATACTTTAAATTGACGATACCATCATTGTCTACTATCTATAATCAAGAACAATAAGCGTGAAATGCGTCGCACTAGCGATAAAGCAACTTCAAATATTATGTATTATGAAGGATCGGACCCTAATAGAGGTTATCAAAGATTTCAACAAGTTAAATTCTGTAGCGACGTTCTAGAAAAATACGAAGAATTTTATAATTATTACGTTTTTATGTCACAACAATTTTTCAATATGAGAGTCATTTTTATATACTCGTAGAAAGCTTTAATATTAAGTTACGGGTTCAGCCTTCTTTTATTAAATGACATCGATCAACAACGGCCAGTGATTTTAAAGAGAAGTGTTTAGAGTATTTAGCAAGAGACATACTTCAGACGTGTAAAGAACGGGAGAGTAAAACTTCTCTCTTTTTTCCCTTCACGAATAAAGTCTCTGGTTGGTCGGTCTAGGAGGATATAATCCAACGCGAAATTCTAGAACAATTCAACGTTAAATGCGATTATCCGATACACGGGGCAAAATTATGCAAAAACGAGTTAACCTGTCAAAGTGGTAATTTTAGATAAATTAAATTTAAAAACCCTCGAGTTTTATGTTGCCGACACAGCAGCTTTGGACTAAGTACACGCAACTTATATTTATTCTTTTTTTGTTCTGGGTAAACTCATTCATGCATAACACCGTCCAATTAACGTATGCACGTCTACAAAGTTCGCGTACTGGTGTTTTTATCCTCCGTACCTCCACCATATCGTTTTATTACTTATTGTAACGAATTCACGTGAAATTAAATGAAATTTTTCATGTTCGCCATATTTTTTAGATAGCGTAATTAATCTGTGGCGTTTTTAAGTAGACCTTTTCGGTCGATATCTATTTAAAAAAATAATAAATTGCAAATATATTTCTGATATATAATATTAGAAATTAATATTAGATTGGTGTCAAAGCTTTACCATCAAAGAAAGTCAAAACTAAAACAGTTTTGTATAGAGTTTTATTTCTATCAATCAAGAAATAGAAAGAGAATTTACAAAATTAAAAATAATTTTCCTTAAATTTTCTCTTTTATATAAACAATATTCTTCAATCTTTGATTAGAGAATAGAGTTTAATGGAAGGATGATAAAGCTTTCAAATCAATCTGATATTTATGTAAGTGTAAATAATATCCGTGAACTCAACCATGGTTGTTTGGTTGTGGTACATTTTTGTTCATGGATCCTTCGAGTTATATTATAATTTTAAAAAAGGAACAACACCGCTATAATAGCAAATGGCAGCAGACATGCATAAGCTTGTCAAAATCTATCTGTCAAACTGTGCAATTAAATTATTTTAATATTACATTGTTCTGTTATATACAATCCTTGTCCCTCATTTTACCTTTAATCGGAAAAAGAACTTACAATTTATTTCAATATCACGTAATTTTACCATAAAATTAATTAATATAAATAGAATATTTTAAATCATTTATTTCAATTATTAATTTATTATTATAAAAAATTCAATTTCCATAAATTTAATTTCGGAGTTGATGTACATATACCTAGTTAATCTCGTGAAAATGAAATATTTTATTACATGAGAATATTAATGATATACAAATCCTTTTAATGATAATAACATTACTATATCATTAGGTATATTATGGATATTAATGTCTTAACGTAATTATGCGTATGTTGACACAATTCTCTTTATTTATTTGCGTAATTTCAAATAGTGTCATAATCTTGAAAAAATTATATATTATTTAAATACTGTAGGATAAGTTGACTTTATAGATTCGAGGAGTTATGTTTAAAATAAAAATCAATTTTTAGTGTACATTGAGTAAACATCTAAAATCTCGAGAACAATATATAAAAATATATTTTTATTATTTTATTTACTGATTTTTATCATAAATTTTCGATTTTTTAGTAAAAATTCGATAACTATATTCACGTTACATAGCTTCTACAACGGCTTTCGATATTTCGCCTGTACCCATATTCTATACATTTTCAACTGTTTACCTCTATTAACTTGCAGCCTTCTGTCCATGAAGTTTTGTTCCTCGACGAAACCATTATCGGTAAATAATTTTCTAATATCCTCTGAAAAAGTCAATATTTTAACAAAATGTTCGGTGAAACGTTACGAGCATCATATTTCAATTATTAATGATTTAACAGATCATAATTCTAATTTGGAAATAGTAATATATAAGATTTTTGTTCATATAGCAATAAGAATAATATATTCAGATTACAATACTAATGTAATATTTTTAAGTTTACATACCTTGAGAAAAAAAGTACACTCTGGTGCCATCTCCACGTACATAGAAATTTTCACCAAGACAGTTGCCCTTCTTAAATCTTAATTGCGCTAAATCGTGTCTGCCATAATCTCGAAATAAAATTATTCCACCTGGTTTAAGATATCTGTACATTTGCCGCATAACATGTTGCATCCTATAGAATATATCAAGAAAAATATTAACTACTTTCTCCCTTTTCTATCTTTTCTTTCGAAAACTATTTTAATTTTCCACATAATATTGATATTTATATAATTTATAAAATTTGTTATTAGTTCGGAAATATACAATTTGTTCATCTCAATTTATATATTTGTATATATATTATATATGGGATACTAATAATTAGTAATATTAAACTTACTTGTCAGGATGAATGGCAGACAATACAAATATAAGAACGATGATGTCTAAACTTTCAGGTTCAAAAGGAGTCGTCCACATTTGCTGAGTTACATCCAAGACAAATGCTTTACATCTAAAACAAATAAATGAATTTACACATTATGTGGCGCGGATAACTTACGCTACTATACTTTCTATTAGATAATGTTAAATAAATTTAGACAAATTTTTAGAAAACTTTACCTATCTACATTATATGCAGGATTTTGTTGTAATATATTAATAGCTTTCGCCGAAAAATCACAACAATATATAAACAGCTTCGGATCTGTATTATACATGAGTATAGGAAATACAGTGTTTCCTACACCACATCCTATTTCTAATATTCTACAGTTGTCTTTACACGGTAAATCTAGAATTTTTATGTGTTTTTCACCACATTTTTTATCTTCATCTGTAAATGCAGCTCTCATGGGCCTTTCCATGTCCTGTTTTATGGTATTGGGCGCTAATTCCGGAAACTCTATCAGCAACCAATGCCTGTCTTTAAAAAACCTATAATAATAAATGTATTAACTAAAAATTCATTGCACTGATTCATTGAATAAATATAGGAATATTAGATTGATTGCATTATCTAATATTCTAAACAGTAGAGAAAATACTTTGCTTAGACCGCATACATACCCGTTATTATGTACTCCATAAAATTTGTCCCAATATTTATCTGCTTCAGTTTCATATTTAAAAAGTTGCTCAGATGACATCGTAACAGTGGAATTTTCGTCTATTTTCTGTTGTGCTAACTTCTCTTGTTCTTCATCCCATGTAACATTATCCCTTTTAGAATAGCAAATTCAATCATTAAGGAATAGATATATAGAATAAACAAAATTAAGGCTTTATTCCTCTTTCCAATCAAATACGTAATATAAAACAGAATATATTAGCAATTACATAAACAGATGATACATATAAAATTATATTATTTTATTATATTTAATAAAATAAATTTTAATTTTAATGAATGAAATAGAAATGAAATATAAGATAAACGATCAAGTAAAAAAAAAATATAACAATCTTTACACGTTTCTTAAATCTACTTGGCTGCAGTCATAACAAAATAGATACGTCCTTTGTGGGAAAATGAGGAAAATAAAAATGAAGCACAAAATGTTGGATATAATATTTATTACGCATGAAATCATATAAAAAATATCACGAAAGTAATCAGAAACAGTTTCTAGGTTAGAGTATCATACAACAAATACACATAGTCTAAAAATCAATCGTCGATTGTTCAAATGAAAGAAACAAAAATTTTAATTTGAAAAAAGATAATCACAATAAACATCGCGGTTGATATATGTATTAATTTGCTTTTAAATTCGGCCGAACACGCGTTCGCGGGTCGAACGTCAATTGTCAAGTCGACCGACGTTGCACGCGGCCGCAATCGGCCGCATACGCGCGTGGAGCCACGACGTACCATGCATTGTGCTGGAAGATGTTTCCATCGTGCGGTAAATTCCGCGTTCCAAATTGCGGCCTCCTCGTTTCTGGGTCGTCGTTATTGTCCGCGATTGTCGTTACTCCGGCCATGTTCGACAACGCTCCGGCGAAACGGGCGGCACGAGGCTTGTGCTCGTTCCCACATGGAGCGTCACATCCATTAGACATCCGTACGATCTCCATGTAACTCTACAGCTAATAGAAGTAATAGAGATTGATAGAGATCCATGATTTCCAAGATAGACGTCATCAATGGATGTCCTCTACAAATCTACCATAGACCATAAGCGGCATAAATGTCCATTCCATTGAAACATCAATTAAGGATATCTATGTAATAGCTTAGTACGTGGCACCGCCGATAGATGGAGACAGCAGAATTTTATTTCTCATAATTTAAAAAAAAAAGATGCCGGAAGTAGAATAGTGCGAGATTTTTCACTTATATT